ACATGCATGCAAATAGTCTCAACCCTTTAATTCTATGGCCCTCTTGGTTTCCAATCGTCGGATGCCAACAACATGGGAGTATTAATTCCACACTTTGATATGACTATTTAGTCAAAATACATGTTCATATTACTACCACAGAAAATAAACATGTGTGTTCGACTTTGTACCATCCTGCAGGCTTCTTACATAATTCCCATGTCATAGCGTTACGTATGCAGTATTACATTATGTGATTTATAACTGATCAAATTAGATAGATCAAAATATTTGTTAAAATTTGTCAAAAGTATGTCAATAAAAAATAAAATTAGTTAAAAATAATAAACTGGTAAGATATGTTTTTTTTTCCTTTTCAAATATACCCTTATATATGAAGAGAATAAATAAAAGAAAATGAGTGAAACAAATTGAGAGAATGCATGATAATTAATGTATGGTCACGTATTTAATGGTGGTAAAAACACAGAGAGTATATTAAAATTTCGGACAAAAAGAGACTGTAACTTATATATAAGACCAGCATTATCTCAAAAAGTGTAAATTATATATAGAATCGGAGGAACTGGTAATTTTAGCCACACTTTGTATGGGTTTCATTTTTCATAAAACAAAGATCAATTTACGAGCTTCATTCATACTGCAAACCCATGCCTTTTTTTTTTTTACCACCAAAACCCACGCCTTTGCTTTACTGATAATTGTATATGCCCCGATAAACATGAAATGTTATTATCACCAAAGCAAATACAATTATGTTTTGAATAGAAAAAGCAGGGCACATCATGGACGTCCACGTCCACGTCTAAAGTCGAATTGACACATGTTTTTCTCAGGAGCAATCAAAACGAGAAAAGAAGAAGAGGGGATTTGAATTATATTCTCTAGAATATAGGTACTCTCCATTATACATACAATAAAAAATATGATGTAAAAATTAAAGTAAACGTGTGAAAATTACATTTGTTAATTTTTTTTTTAAAAAAATTTGTATTACGTAATCTTATTTATTGAATGGTTAAATTAAATTAAATTAAAAAAAAGATTGAAAATCGAGGAGATGAAATGAATCGTGGAGAAAGAGACAAGAGGGGATTTTTGCGTCTTCTGGTCAAAAAAGAGGGGATTTTTGCGTCGAAGAAAAGAACATGGAAAGTAAAACTGCCGCCAAAGAATGGAAGAAAAGAGGCCGTTAAGGAAATGCCACGTCGACCAATGATAAGGCGAGTAATGAAAGCGGCTCGCACGTTTGTGGTCGAACCACCCAATTGGCGCCACGTAACAGACAAGATTAACCGACCCTTCAACGACAGTCAAATCTTGGCCCAACACGTTATTCCTTACGACACACTCTCGGACAAGGGCTATCTTCAGTTATGATCACACACACAATGATCTTGGCCTTGGATATTTTTTAACACATTCACAGTACATTACTTTTGATTTTCTTTCCCAATTATCGTGACTTTGGAAATTTCTTAGAACCTTTACTTCTTACTTCCATTGGACCATAATCCCATCGCCCACGTGGAGTTTACGTTTTTTTCTTTTTAAGTTCTTGTTTCTCGTCTTCCCCGCCTTTTTCAATTAGTGTTAACAACAATCATTCAAAAAAGATTTGTTTTTTTCTTAGCTTTAGAAAAATCACAACTAAATATTTGTTTCTTTTTGGATCTGTTCTGCTGACAGACGTTGAGTAGATCTTTTGAATTTTTGTGGGGAGGTTTGTATTTATGTTTGATGATTGTGGAAGAAAGGATAGGGATGGCGAAATTGAAGTTGTCCAACTTCTCCTATTGGTGGTCCTTTCTTCACGTTTTATATGAATTGTCATGCATTTAGAACTTGTAATCTAATGGCATGAAAACTTTTCTATAAGTGAAAAGTCGTAGAGTTGATCTCACTTATAATCTTAAGTTGTTAGTCTCTGTATTTTTTATTTTTTATTTTTACAAAAAAAGAAGAGTAAAATCTTGTTCTTTTTGGTTAAAAAAGTTTATGGGAAAGGAAAGGCATTTTTTAAGGCATCTATAGAACGAACTACCTGTTAGCCACAGCCCAAGTGAACGAATGTCACAGAATTTTTTTTTTGGGTACAAAATGTTACAGAAATTGAATCTAAAATGAAAATTCTACTAATAGGAGATTGGGTCTAGCAGAAAGAGCTAGTCTTTCACAACATAATGAACCAAGGTTCGAATTCTCGTTGAGAAAGGTACTCACATTTAGTACCAAACAGCGTCTCGAATAGGATTGTCTCCAATAGAAGAATATCTATGTTTTAGTAAAAAAAAAAATGAGATTTTTTTGTTCTTCTTTCACAATGGGCCCAAAACATCCAGTGAGAGATAAGTAGCCCAAAAAGTGATGGGCTATTCTATCTCAACAACTCTGGGCCTTTTGGGCTATCTGAAAGCCCATTTCCCATCTATTGCATAAAATTGTCGAAATCGGGTATGCCGCATCAAAGGTTTATTCGTATTAAGGGATTTCATTTTCTTTTTGTTTTTTTTTTTGCTTTTAATTACTATTACTTTATACTCGTCATTTTTTATTCGTTCTACATAATTTAATTTTTTTTAATGAAAAATTTGGCTTATTTTATTTGTGAAACATAATTGGATTAAAGTTTACTAATTTTCAGAACAAAATGAATGAGAATATTATATATTATGGGATTACAGCAAGAATTTTCATAAAAATAATATGGCGCAGGGGATGATGGTAATGAAAATTTGTATCAAGTAACAATTTGATTGGTGAAATCTCCTGGGAGCTTGGGAATCTGTGATGAGCCTGTGGTTTTCTTAATTTATGAAGGAACGGTATTTGTGGGGAACAAACCCTTTCTAAGTCCCTCAAGAACTGATAAACTTGGTGAGTTCGTGTACGCTTTGAATTTTTCAAACAATAACTTATTAGAAGAAATTCTATTACGAATGCAACTCTAAAGATCTTTATAAAACCTAGCAGTAATATCCTTGAAAGATGAGTGTAATTTCTTTGTAACATTTTTTATCCTTTGGTTTATTTTGCTCTTTTAAATTGATATAAATAAAATATGTATAGTAGAATGTATGATTGAATGAGCAGCTTGAACATAATATTTCATCTCTGTATCATTGGTTATTGAATTTTTGGCTTCCATCTTTCATCGGCAAAGCAGCCCACGGTAGCATTAATAATGGGGAAGCAGCAGATGGTATTTTAGTCTTTTCATGTCTCAATCCGCGATTCCGATGTCCCAATCTTGGTTCCAGGAAGGCTTTCAGGATATGTGTGTGTGTGTGTGTGTGTGTAACATCTTAGACTCTTTTGAGTATTAGGCTTTGATGAAACTCTGCTACGCTGCGAACAGTTAAAATTGGAGACCAGAAAATACTTTATTGGGAAATTAACCACATACACCTCTAATTGTATTTATAAGACACTTTTAGTATATTTTACACAGACAAAAAAAAAATCTTAAAATGTATTAACTCTATTAAAATATAACAAATTTTCAACTTTATCCATATTTACTATATACACCTTTTAAAAGAGATAATTACCTATATTATAATAAATAAAAGACAAAATAGTATATTCACGCTAAAAATTTAACAAAATGACTTATAAATAAGACTAAAAAAATATTCTCTCTCTATCTTATAAATATAACTAGATGTGTAGTTTAGTTTATTTGCCACGAGAAACAAGGAAATCCACCGCTCGTGGTTTCCCTAAGCTCATAATCATGTGAGCCTTAAAGGATATATTATTTGACTTTCTGAAACCATCATTAATTTGGGCTTGACCATTCATGGCAGGAAAAATTCCCAAATTAATCTAAGCTGAATTATTAACTTAGGTTGTGTCCGCTTGTTGGAGTTGAGATTAACTAGACTCTAAACTGAATAAGAAAACAAACTAAACAGTGGATAAGTTCTCTTTAACACACTCACCGACTGTATGTGAAGGATCCCAGAGATAATAAAAAAGCACTGACATAGCATGGCAAACAAATAAACAACGTAGATCCTCCACGTGGTTCATTGAACTATTGAACCCGCTTTCATGACTTTTAATCTAATTAGGTTTTCATACTACGTTTGGTTATTATATTATTATGTAATAGGTAATAGTTAGGTATATATGAACAAGACATTGGTACGTATATAATTGTGATGTGATGTTCTCAATCACATGTATATAGAATGTTTTGCGCTAGCATTCCGGCCTACGTATGTACGATAATGACTGAAACCAACCGAGGTACGAAAAGTGGATGAATCATGCATGGCAAATATACACAACCCTTTGTGGCCGTCTTGGTTTCCAACAAGTTATTCCTCACGAAACGAGAACTATTTTGAACTATTATTACTACAAGAATGATTTTAAAAAAATAGATAAAAATAAGAAATAAAATATATTAAAATCTTATATTTATGACTAAAATAAAGATCAAACAAGCTCTTCTATTAAACACAGAAAGTAGTATATAAAATCAGAGGAAGCAGTAATTTTAGCCACACTTTGTATGGGTTTCATTTTTCTTAAAACAAAGATCAATTGCCGAGCTTCACTCATATTGCAAACCCATGCCTTTTTTTCAAATACCAAAACTCATGCCTTTACTTGACATATAATTTTATATGCCCCGATAAACATGAAATATTATTATGAATCACCAAAGCAAATACAATTATGTTTTGAATAAAAAAAGCAGGGCACATCATGGACGTCCACGTCCATGTCTAAGGTTGAATTGACACATGTTTTTCTTAGGAGCAATTAGAACGAGAAAAGAAGAAGAAGAGGGGATTTGAATTATATTCTCTAGAATACACATTCTCTCCATTATACATACAATAAAAAAAATATGACGTAAAAATTAAAGTAAACGTGAAAATTATGTTTGCTAATTCTTTTTTAAAAAAATTGTATTAAGTAATCTTATTTATTGTATGTTTAAATTTAAATTATAAAAATATCGAAAATTGAGGTGATGAAATGAAATGGGGAGAGAGAGACAAGAGGGGATTTTTGCGTCGAAGAAAAGAACATGGAACGTAAAACTGCCGCCAAAGAATGGAAGAAAAAAGGCCGTCAAGGGAATGCCACGTCGACCAATGACAAGGCGAGTAATGAAGGCGGCTCGCACGTTTGTGGTCGAACCACCCAATTGGCGCCACGTAGCAGACAAGATTAACCGACCCTCCAACGACAGTCAAGTCTTGGCCCAACACGCTATTCCTCACGACACGCTCTCGAACAATGGCCATCTTCAGCTATTGTTACACACACACACACAATGATCTTGGCCTTTTGATATTTTCTAATATATTCACAGTACATTACTTTTGATTTTCTTTCCCAATTATAGTCACTTTGGAAATTTCTTAGAACCTTCACTTCTTACTTCCATTGGACCATAATCCCATCGCCCACGTGGACTTTAGGGTTTTTTTTTTTCTTTTTAAGTTATTGTTTCTCGTCTTCCCCAGCTTTTTCAATTAGTGTTAACAACAATCATTTAAAAAAGATTTGTTTTTTTCTTAGCTTTAGAAAAATCACAACTAAATATTTGTATCTTTTTGGTTTTGTTTTGCTGACAGACGTTGAGATGAATGAGTGGATTTTTGAATTTTTGTGGGGATGTTTGTATTTATGTTTGTTGATTGTGGAAGAATGGGTAGGAATGGCGAAATTGAACTTGTCCAGCTTCTCCTATTGGTTGTCCTTGCTTCATGTTTTGTATAAACTGTCATGCATGTGCGAGTGAAGAAAGAAAAAAAAATTCTACTTGTGATCTCGTAACCTATGGATTGTAGGATTTATCATACTTGTAAACTCAGGTTATTAATTTCTGCCCTTTAAGAAACAAAGGAAGAGGAGAAAAATCTTGTTTTCTTTTATAAAAAAAATTATGGAAAAGGAAAGACATTTTTTAAGGCGGCTGATAAAACGAACTTCCTGTTCCTCACAGCCCAAGTCCATGAATGTTATAGAAATTGAACCTAAAATGAAAATTCTTGGGGGCAAGCTAGCAGAGCAATTTGGACCATGATTTAAAAACGCTCTTCCTCTTTTTTTTTCCCCCCCCAAAAAACGCGTTTCTTCAGAATAGACCCAAAACATTTCCCAAAAAGTAAAGGGCTACCTCTATCTCAACAACTCTGGGCCTCTTTTTGTGTGTATTAAGGGACTTTACTTTATTTTATTTTATTTTGCTTTTAACTACTATTGCTTTATGCTCGTTATTTTAAATCTATTATGCATAATTTATTTTTTTAATGAGAAATTTGAGTTATTTTATTTGTAAAGCATAGTTGGATTAAATTTTACTAATTCTTAGAACAAAACATGAATGAGAACATTATTATGGGATTACAACAAGAATTTTCGTCAAAACATGACGCAGGGAATTATGGTAATGACAAGTGACAATTTGTATCAAGTAACAATTTGAGTGGTGAAATCTGGTGGGAGCTTGGGAATCTATGAGGAGCCTGTGGTTTTTCTTAATTTGTGACGGAACTATTTGTGGAGTCAAGAACTGATGAACTTGTCGAGTTGGTGTACATTTTGAACTTTTCAAACAACGACTTATTAGTAGAAATTCTATTAGCAATGCAACTCTAAAAGATCTTTATAAAACCTAGCAGTAATATCCTTGAGAGATGAGTTTGATTTCCTTATAAATTTTTTATCCTGTGGTTTATTTTTCGTTTTTAAAATGATATAAATAAAACACGTACAATACAAATAAGATGACCAAAATCCTATGGGCTTCTTCATTTTTTGGTAAAAAAATTGGCATGGGCTTCATCTAACTCAACAACTCTAGACCATGTCCAGAATACCAGTGTCTCCGCTATCCACTACATTACTATCATTTTTCTTCTCTTTAGACCTATTTGGAACGATTGATAAATAACTTTTTAATCATAATTTACGAAATACTTGGTAAATATGTAAAAAAAGTTTTATCTCAACTTACATAAAATATGCTTATAAATGATTTTAGATGTGATAACAAACAAGGTTTTTTTTCATTCTTGGAGCCAGGCTAGCTTCATGGTTCTTCACCTTCATATATAGTTAAAGGAGATTGTTGCGATCATCATAATTAATATAGTAAGATGCCCAAGGTCACTGGATCTCTCTATCAATAATCAATATATGATTGAATGAAAAGCTTGAACATAACATTTCATCTCTGTATCGTTGGTTATTGAATTTTTTGCTTCCATCTTTCATTGGCAAAGCAGCCCATGGTGGCACTAATGGAGATGCAGCAGATGGTATTTCGGCCTTTTCATATCTCAGTCCACGATTCCTATGTCCCAGGGTTGGTCCCAGGAAGGCTTTAAGGATACACACGCGCGCGCACACACATATATGATCTTAGACTCTTTTGAGTATTAGGGTTTGATGAAATTCTGCTATACGCTGTGAACAATTGAAATTGGAGACCAGAAAATACTTTATTGAGCAAATTAACCCCCTAGCTTAGTTCACTTGGCACGAGAATCAGGGAAATCCACTGCGGCTTCCCTAAGCTCATGTCAAGTTTCTGGGGAACCATGTGAGCCTCGGAGGATATATTATTTGACTTTTTGAAACCATCATTAATTTGGGCCTGACTATTGGGTTTGCATATGAGCGTTGGAAAGATTTCCAAATTGTAATGTTTGCCTGGTTGCTTTCTTGATGAGGAATAATTGTCCGTCAACTGTTCAACTATATTATGAAGTTCATTTTCGTTTTGAAAAGTAAAATATAAATTCACGTTTGGATTCACTAAGAGCAATCCAACTGTAATGGAGCAGTCTAAAACTTCTGGACTAGTCTTTGGCCCACCAAATTAATCTGAGCGAACATATTAACTTTGGTTGTGTTCACTTATTGGAGTTGAGATTAATTGGCCTTCAAACTGAACGAGAAAATAAGATGACAAACTATAAGTCCTCCTTAATAAACAACCTCGATCCTCCACCAGGTTCTTTGAATATATTGAATTTGGGATGTTTAGTTATATAAATCGAGATAAAATTCTTTTCACATATTTATTTTATATATAGTAAAATCATTTTTAAAATTCTGGTTTGTTTTTTTTTCCAAACACCCCTTCATGATTTTTAGTCTTAGATTTTCATATTACGTTTAGGTATTACTCTGGTCATTAATATAGAACCTCATTATTGAGTTGAATTTAGTGCTAAATATCATACCTATTTCTCATATTTATTAATTTTTCTTAAATTATCTTTATGAGAGGGAGGATATTAAGAAAGATGATTATGGTATTTTAGAAAAAAAAATGTCATATGTTTTATAATTAACTAACTTACTTAAATTTTAATCTAATCAAATTAGTTAAATATTATCTCCAGTTCTTATAATATAAGAGCTCATTGACTTTTACTTGAATCCTAAATATAAGATCTTAATCCACTTTTTCTCTCATATTTATTTATTTTTTTAAAGTAGTCCTTATAATAATAATAGTTTTAACCAATACACTTGATTAACAATGATATTATGGGAAAAATAACACATTTATTATAAATAACTAACTTAACTAATTTTTTTATCTATTTAAATTAGTTAACTAGTTCTTATCTTAAGAACCGTAAATAATAGATCTTATATTAAGGATATGAGATGTATTATGTAATTGTACGTGTGAACAAGAAATTGGTATATAATTGTGATGTGATGTGATGTGCACACTCACATGCTGAATGTTTCGCCTTAGCAATCCGGCGGACGCACTATAATGACTGAAACCAACAGAGGTACGAAAAATGGATGAACCCTGCATGGGAATAGACAAATAGTCCAGACACTTTATGGCCGTCTTCGTTTCCAATCGTCAGATATCGAAAACATAGGAGTATTAATTGCAAATTTAATATAGTCCTACTATCATATTTATTAAGTTTCTTTACGGCATCTTTAGTTACACTCTATTTATTTCATGTAAAAAAAAAAAATCAATTTATGATGGGTTTGATACTCCCTCTCGGTTGCCTTAAATAAGTGACAATTTTTTCATATGATGTCTTCCTCTTTATAAAAAAAATATTTAGAAGTTGTTTTCAATTTTTTCTTTAATTTTTTATTTTGTCTTTATTTGATTACTCATATCAATATCATTACATTTATTATCAATGTAAATTGTTCAAATAGTAATTCTTTCGTTTTTTTTTTACACCCTATATTTCATTACTACGGATTATTTTAAAAAAAAGTTACATTTTTTTATATGTTTATTTTCTCCAACTGATTTTCTAATTAACTTTGATTCAATTGAAGGAATGGAAGATATTTCAAATCTATGCCTCCCCTTTTCGTATTATTGTTTAGCCCTGATATTAAGGTTTTAATTAACATGAAATATCATCATCAAATCAAATCAAATCATATACAATAATTATATCATGTACAGAATGTTTGGTCGAAAAACATATTATGAAAAGAAAACAGGGCACATCATGGATGTCCATCGACCTTGTGTTGGGCCCAACACGTTATTCCTCACGAACGCACTCAAACAAAATTGATCACACTAGTCATCCAAAAATGTGATCACACTGATCTTCTCTTTGATATATTTTCCAACAGCTCTCTTCACATAACAACCTTTTTCTTTTTTCTTTTTTTTTTTAAACTTTTCCTTCTCGTAGTGTAATGTTCACCGATTGCTTTGTTGACAAGGAATTATTCTGCGTCAACTAGTCAACTATATTATGAAATGTTTAAGGCTTATACTTCACGTTCCCTCTGAGAAGTAAACTAATATACATTCAAGTTCTGATTCATTCGGAACAAGGCAAGTATTGTGAGAGATTGATCATGTATCGGAATAGTCTAAGAGTGCTTCAAGCCACATTCTTGGCGTGGCTTTTGCAGGTAGGGATTCTGCGCACCAATGGAAGCAAGAGTTGCATAGAGAAAGAAAGGGAAGCACTTTTGGAGATGGAGAAAGGGCTTGTGGATGAGTATGGCATCTTGTCTTCATGGGGTCCAAATAGAGACGCTGATTGTTGCAACTAGTGGGGAATTCATTGTAGCAACCAAACAGGCCATGTTGTGAAGCTGGATCTCCGTGCTCGTGACTATGATAAACCTTTGAAAGGTCAGATTAGTTCTTCTATGGTGGAACTGCAACAGTTGAATTATCTAGATTTTAGTTGGAATGATTTTCATCAAAATCAAATTCCAGAGTTTCTTGGCTCTCTTACCAATTTAAGAACTCTTGATCTGAGTCATGCTAACTTCGGTGGGAAAATTCCTTATCAATTAGGAGAACTCTTGAGCCTACAGAATCTTCATCTCCACTTAACTACCTTGTAGGTGAAATCCTTGGCAATTGGGAAATCTTTCTAACTTGCTGCAACTCGCTCTGCATCATCACCATTTAGGGGGCTTAATTCCTCACCAACTAGGTAATCTTTCAAGATTAGAGATTCTGTTCTTGATTCAAATGACAATCTCCTGATTGATGTTGATGACATTCCATGGATTTCTCACCTTTCTTCTTTGACCGACCTTCAACTAGGTGATTGTGTCAAATCTTAGAAAATCCAAAAAACTGGTTGCACATGGTTGGTCGGCTGCCAAATCTACAAGTTCTGTCTCTAAAAATTGTAGTCTTTCAAATAGAGATCTTCTTTTTTGGGCATCCCTCTGTATTGAATTTTTCTTATTCCCTAATTGAGCTTGATCTAGCTCACAAAAGTTCACAATCATCCATATTTCCTTGGTTGTTCCATTTAAACTCTAGTCTTACATACCTGGATCTCGGAGAAAAACCTCTTAGAGGGTTCTATTCCATATGATCTTGGGAAAACAATAAATTCTCTTCAATACTTGGCACTCTGTAACAATCACTAAATGGAACACTGCCAAAAACAATTGCAAATCTGTTAGAATTGCGAGATTTTGATGTTTCTGGGAAACTTTTTGGATGGTGAGATTACAAATTTGGGGCCCCTTGTGAATCTCACAAATTTGGGCATGTTAAGGTTATCCTAGAACTCCGTTACTTTGAAATTCAATGACAGTTGGATTCCTCATTTTCAATTGACATTATTGATGATGCAATCTTGCATGCTAGGTCCTTCTTTTCCAAAATGGCTTCAAACACAAAAGGCCCTCTCCAGTCTTGATGTTTCTGATGCTGGCATATCAGACACAGCAACAATGGCCTCTTTCCTTTGCTCTGCCAAGAAAAGTTTAACCTTTTTGGACATGTCAAGCAATCACTTCAAAGGACAACTTCCAGATTGTTTGAATGGCTCAAATTCAATAAGAATCATCGATTTCAGCAACAACAAATTCTCTGAAAACATTCCTACCTCTATGGGTTCCTTACTTTTGGTCCGCCACTTAATATTACGCAACAATCACTTCACAGGCCAACTCCCATCCTTGAAGAATTGCACTGACTTGGTGATGTTGGATGTGGGGAGAAATGAATTGGCAGGACCCATACCTTCATGGATATTAGGATCTAACTTTCCTAAGTCGCAAGTTCTTAGCTTGACAATGAACAACTTTCATGGAAGTTTGCCATCCCATCTTTGTCATTTGTCAACCATTCAAATTTTAGATCTTTCAATGAATAACTTGTTTGGACATATACCCAAATGCCTCCAAAACTTCACTACGATGACTCATAAACCTAGCATCTATGATACCATTAATCAATTCTTTATCTTTAAGAATAATTCCCCCTCTTATTGGATAGTTGAATATGACTTTTATCCCACAGTGAGATGGAAGGGGAAAGAATTGTCATTTAAGGACAACAAAAGACTTCTGAGGTTGATTGACCTATCTGAAAATCAACTATCTGACAAGATTCCAGAAGAAATTGGGAGCCTCTCAGAACTAGTTTCTTTAGATTTATCAAATAACAATTTAAGTGGTGAAATCCCTTGGGAGCTGGGAAAGTTGCATGCCCTTGATTTTCTTGATTTATCAACAAATCGTTTTTCTGGAAAAATCCCTTCAAGTCTGTCTCAAATTGATAGGCTCGCTGTTTTGAACTTATCCCATAATAATTTATCTGGAAAAATTCCATTAGGAACGCAACTCCAAGGCTTCAATGCATCTGTATATGAGGGAAACCCCTATCTCTGTGGGAGTCCACTTGAAAGGCTTTGTCCTGATGAAAACAGAAAACCAGAAGGCTCATTTACAATTGAGAAGCATGATGATGATTCAATTTTCAGCCAAGGCTTCTACATAAGTATGGGTTTGGGATTTGCTACTGGATTTTGGGCCATCTTTGGCCCATTGCTTCTCTTCCCCACTTGGAGGCATGCTTGCTTCATCTTCCTGCATAATCTATGTGACAAGATCTTTGTGCTCACAGTAACCAACATATCAAGATGTCGCAGGTTCTTTGAAAAGTAAGTAATAATCTTCTTTCTTTCACTCTCCTTTTCAACAAAATTGGGAAACAAAAATAGATCAATTGATCCAAAGTAATTTCTTACCTGTCACGAAAAAGCATACATAAAACCATTTGGATGAGTCTCGAACTTCTCTAATCAGTTTAATTATTCATTCATGAAACTTTCACGGTGACTTGGTTTTGAATGCTGTGGATTATAAGCAAGGTGATGAGAGGAGCCCGATCCATGGAAGCTGAAAGATCATGAGAGAGGCAGTTTGGGCAGAAGCAAATACATGTGGAATAGGTTTCTGTTAGCCGCCGTCAAAATAAAGCATCCATGTCACGTGTGCTTTTGTTAATTAATTACTCTTGTCAATTTCGTCCTGTTTAACCTTGCTGTTACTTAATTGGGAATATTCTCAATTAGACTTGTCTAACTTATCGTTTCATCTATAATGTGTCGAATGAAAAATACTGAGCTGGTAAAAAAAGAATGAAAAATACTGATACAGAACCATTGTTTTTTAAATGCTTTTTTTGGCCCTAATTAACCATGAAATGAAGCCTGTCTTTTTGCAAATATATGCAAAACTCACCCTAGGCCGGCCATATTTAGTCCATAAAATAAATAAATAGAAACCAAAATACGTCATAATTGCTTTCTTCGAAAAGTATGACAAGATTTTCAGCAAGAATTACAAACAAAAAGTAGAATTTCCTGTTAAGGTTATGAGAAATAAGCTTTTATTATAAACTATTAATCAAATTTTTGCACTCACATTGTATATTTAAAAAATGAATAAAAATTTATTAGTTGCCAAATCATATCTTATACTTGCACTTATTCCTTTTCTACTTTTCATATAATGGATACCAATAAAATCACCTTAAGTGAAAATAGAATTGCAACCAAAAGAAACTTGAATTTTCATAAGCTAAAAAATTTAGATAAAAATAAAACGCTAAAATATACAAAATTCTCCTAAACTTTGCATCAATCGCATGAAACCTTCCTGACATTTAAAATTTAAATTAAAAATTCTAATATTTCATGTTTTCACAAAATTGAATCCTTTAGCTAAACAGTTTTTCCCATCATCGCATTTTTATAATCATCGGCGTCATCTGCGCTCTGATCATTAGTTCTCTAATTTGCTGACAATTTTCTGGTGAAGCCACCGGATAATATAACAATTTCTCAAACAACCAAGGAATATAGTCATTTCCCAACAATTTTCTTCATCTTTTATTGAATCCTCGTCCATCTGGGGGAAAATCTTGTATAATTTTACTTAAAAATTATGTCCATACTTTTCTCTGACAAAAAAAAAGGTCCATACTTTTCATGGAATCGAAATTTTTGGTTTTGAGGGAAAAAAAATGAGAAGTTACTAAAATAACGAAATGATTTTGAGTGTTTGGAAAAAATTTTAATTTTCATTTTCATTTCAGAGCAAGACTTGTTGAATATGAGAAGCCCAAGCAGCACCTAACTTTCGCATTCATCATCGTATTGAGCTTCAGTAACGGGCCCATGATAATAGCCTTTTGGGTGTTGGGCCTGAATAGCCATTTTCTTTGCAATATTTGACATTTCGAATAGGAACAGGTTTTTTTAAAAGAAAAATAAAAAGGAATGAGTTGATATTAGATTTTTTTTAAAAAAAAAAGTTCCATTAAAATGATAGTTGAATTCGTAAAACCCCAAATGTCATCTAAACTTGAAAAATCGACTAAATTTTGAAATTAAATGAATTTACAGTATTACCTTTTTTTTATTTTCTTTTTTATACCTTCAAATCACTCTTGCCAGCAGGCGGGGTTCCGACACTGGTGCCAAAGTTTAAGTGACTGCTGGTTACTGATCAACGATGATCCAGTGCTTGGCAACTATTTTTTGAGAATTTTTATAACTTGATTAACAACGCTTAAAATTATACTCACAATTTCATTAACATTTTTAGTCATGTATCTTTCATGTTTTTAAACTGCAATTTTTTGAACAATTTTAATGTTATCAACAACTCTTATAATGATACTGACAAACGCTATTACATTATTAACCATTTTATATGATGGTTTTTTATTAATTTAAAATATGTGTTAAATTAATAATATTAATTTAAAATAGGCTTTTTTTAATTTGTGCTTTAATTATCTTAAATTTCTATGGGACAACCCAATTTATGAAGTTTTCTTACGTGTTCATCCCTGTCACAGACTTGAAGCTAAGTCTACCCCCAAATATACGACTCGATCGACTTCAACTCTCAAATATTCCTCACGATATGTACTCTTATTCCATGTACATGCCATCATCATTGTTGACTTATTGATGAAACCCATATCCGTAGTTGCTCGATGTATCATAATTAATTTCATTTTGCAAACCCCGTCAATTTAACGGAGCCCACACGTTTATACTATTGAAGGCAGATTTCTGGAAGACATCAAATCTTGCAATTAGTTTTAGCAGGGGAAAGAGGCTCGTTTTAGTAGTTAGGAAGCATGCCACACACAACACGCTGCCTATGCTGCTTTGTTTGTGAAGAAAGAAATGATTATAAATTGAAGGTTCCCATAATGTTGGAGCAATATCCAAAGAGTGACCATGTATTCAAATAGTCTAGATTAGGAGTAGGAAGCCATCAAATCTACAAGCTATCTCTTTTAAGAATAGTGTCTTTAGACACGACTCGAACCATATTTTTTGTTACTCAGAGGTATTGCCAACAGCAATCACTTCAAAAGACAACTTCCTGATTGTTGGGATCGCTTAAAATCAATAAGAATCATTGATGAAGGGAGCCCGGTTGATCATTTGAAGCTGGAAGATCGTGATGAGGAAAGCTGCTTGTAGTAGAAGCAAAGACAAATGTGGAATGGGTTTCTGTTAGCTACTGTCAAAATAAAGCTTCCCTATTTTGTTCCCTACTGTGATATTCTCAGTTAGACTTGTCAAACTTAATCTTTTCATCCATATATGTGTGGAACAAAAATGACAGTTACTAAAATCAAATGTTGGATCAATGACCTCGTTAGGTCATTAATAAATTTTTCTTGAAAATGCAAATATAGCTATTCATACTATTGCAAACAAAAAATTTCAATTATAGATTGAGAGTTATAGTTGAAACTTAAATCAATGTCTTATTTGTTAGTGAGATCCTTCAATTTTACAATTATTTGAATCGATATTTAAACTCATTTTTATTAAAATCTATCTAAAACTTTATTGATACTGCCTCTGTTCCTAAATATAAGAGCTAGTTAACTAATTTGAGTAAATTATGAAAATAAGTTAAGTTAGTTATTTATAATAAAGAGGTGTTATCTTTTTTAAAATATCTTTACTAATCATATTTATTGGTTAAAACTATTATTATCAGAAGGACTATATTGGAAAAAAATAAATAAATATGAGAGATAAAATAGATTATGATATTATATTTAGGATCAAAATAAAAGTTAAACGAGATTTTATATTAAGAACTATAAGTAATATTAACTTGTTCCTATAAATCTAACCGTCATTCTTGCGCATGTTTTCAAGAAAACAAATCACGACAATAAGTTGAGGATTTTTTTCCCCTTTGGTTTTCCCCGTTTTTGACATCAATACTATCAATAGGCCAGGGAATGAGGATTCGAATCACGTAATACGCGGTACAGGCCCCATGAATGTTGTACAGATTAAACGGAATTTCCACTGAAAATTCACGAGAGCACCCACAAAAGAACATTAATTAGGCCCAAAATATAAGGGCGGGGCTAGAAGCCCAAATTTTATGGGCTTGCTCTAGACCCATTTCCTCTCTCCAGCTTATGGCTTTATCAAACAACATTGGAGAACACTGCCCCCAAAAAAAAAAAAAATTGGACTCAGCATCGAATCAAAAAATAAAAATAATAGAGGTTTCCAATTTTGACGGTCTAACCGAGGAACTTTCATGAGCGTACTCTTCATCTTCACAGTCACTTCCACTGATAAACTACGTATAATCTTTTTATTCTAATCATAAAATTCTTTTAAATCGGTGAATGCACTTTGTATTCAAATTTGGACAGCTATATTATATATACCTCTTGTTTTCCTTCATACATAATCTCCCTAATAAATAAAACTCTTATCTTATTACGTGCATACTCAAACGATAATAAGCCAACATTTGCCAAAAAATAAACAAGCCACCACAGAGATTATCATTAACTTATTGACTTGTTTTTTATATCCATGATTTACTCGATATATCATTAATTTTTATTATACTGCCTCTGGTTCTAATTATAAGACTATATTTATAGATTATAAACAAGGTAATTAGAACCAAAAGTAGTATTTTGCAAACCCCGTCGATTTGACAAAATCCACGCTTATGAAATTCACCGGCAACCTGGAGCGCAGCTTTTTGAATTTAAAGCCTGGCTTTGAAAATTAATAATGCTTATGCAATACGCATCCTTATAGATCTTTGTATGGGTCCAGTGGCTTTGGAAAAAATCATTTTACTAGACTTTTGGAATTTAAAGCCTTGCAATTAATTAGAAAGCTTGAAATTTTGGGATTGAAAGAAAGCAATCTTAGAAAAGGACGCTACATGCATGCCGCCTAAGACACGCTATACTGTTTAATTTTTGACGAAAGAAATGATTATAAATTGAAGGTTAAATCCCAAAGAGTGACCATGTGTTGGAACAGTCTAAATCTGAGGTAACATATTAACTTTGGTTGTGTTCACGTGTTGGAGTTGAGATTAATTAGACTTTAAACTGAATGAGAAAATGAGACAAAAACCCACTCTCAGTTCTCTTTAACACGCTAACGGACTTGCATTTGAAGAATCGGAGAAATAACAAAGAAGCATTGACAAAGCATCATAAATAAACAACATCGGACTCCCACGTGGTTCATTGAATATATTGAACATGAGAATTTTTTATTATCACATAAATCGAGACAAAACTCTTCTTATATACTTTTTTCGGTCTTATATATAAGCTTCACTTTTGAAGAGGAGTCTGGTCTAAGATAAGCTTCATTTTTTAGCTTGTCTGAGCATTTATTACTTTTTTTTCCCCTAATTTGTTCCTAGTTGACTGTATTTAGTACTCATTCTCCCTCATTAATATTACCTCCATATATTTTTTTTCAACATTTTTTTTATTTATTGTCTCTCTCATTTACTCTCTTAATAAATAAGGATAAATTTGAAAAAAAATACATTCTTGACCTATTTATTATTTTTAATTTATTTTAACTGATAGTTCGTTAAATGTGATTCGGTTATTTGAACCTTATATATAAGAACGAAAGGAGTACTTATTTTGTATATCATAAAATTACTTTTAAAATTATGATTGAATTTCCATCCAAATACCAATTCACAACTTTTAGTCTTAGGTTTTCCTACTATGTTTAGGTATTACTTCTTCGGTTATTAATATATGACCTAATTAGTGAGTTAAATTTAGTCCTAAATATTAAACATATTTCTCTTACTTATTGATTTTTCTTAAATTATCTTTATGGATATTCTCTCAACCATGATTAAGTAGGATGAGGATATTAAAAAAGATAGTTATGGTATTTTAGGAAAAATATGTCATATGAGTATTTTTTATAATTAACGAATTTACTTAACTTTCTTAATTCAATTAAATTAGTTAAATAGATCTTATATTAAAAATAAGAATAGCATTATGTAATTTGTAATAGGCATGTATGAACAAGAAATTGGTAAATAACTGTGGCATGATGTGCTCAATCACATATAGAATGTTTCGCATTAGCAATCCTGCGTACGCACGATAATGACTGAAACCAACAGGAGTACGAAAAATGGATGAATCATGCATGGGGATAGACAAATACTCTGAAAACTTTATGGCCGTCTTGGTTTCCAACCGTAAGGAATCGAAAACACAAGAGTGTTAATTGCAAATTTAATATAGTCCTACTATTATATTTATTAAGTTTCTTTGCGGCATCTTTGGTTGCACTCTATTTATTTCATGTAAAAAAAAATCAATTTATGATGGGTACTCCCTTGGTTGCCTTAAATAAGTGATGATTCTTAATATGATGTCTTCCTATTTATAAAAAATATTTGGAAGTTGTTTTCAATTTTTTAATTTTTTATTTTGTCTAGTTAACTTTGATTCAATTGAAGGAATGGAGGATGTTTCAAATCTATGCCTCCCCTTTTCGTATAATTGTATGGTCCTGATATTAAGGTTTTAATTAACATGAAATATTATTATCAAATCAAAGCATGTACAATAATTATATCATGAACAGAATGTTTGGTCGGAAAAAAAATATATTAAGAACAGAAAGCAGGCCGCACCATGGATGCCCACATCAACCCTGTGTGGGGCCAACATGTTATTCCTTCCGAAACACTCCCAAACGAATGTGATCATACTAGTCACCCAAAAAAAAAATGATCATACTGATCTTCTCTTTGATATATTTTCTAACAACTCTTCACATAGGAACCCCTTTTTTTTTGGTTACTTTTCCTTTTCATATTGTAATGTTCACTGATTGCTTTGTTGACAAGGAATTATTCTGCGTCAACTAGTCAACATATTATGAAGTCTTTATACTTCATTTTCCTTTTGAAAAGTGAACTAATATACGTTTGAGTTTTGATTCATTTGATGCAAGGCAAGTTCTGTGAAAGAGAGTGATCATGTATTGGAATAGTCTAAAAGTGCTTCAAACCATATTCTTGGCATGGTCTTTACAGGTGGGGATTATGCACACCAATGGAAGCAAGGGTTGTAGAGAGAGAGAGAAAGGGAAGCACTTTTGGAGATGAAGAAAGGGCATGTGGATGAGTATGGCATCTTGTCTTCATGGGGTCCAAATGGAGACGCTGATTGTTGCAACTGGTGGGGAATTTATTGTAACAACCAAACAGGCCATGTTGTGAAGCTGGATCTCTGTGCTTGTGACTATGATAAACCTTTGAGAGGTCAGATTAGTTCCTCTATGGTGGAATTGCAACAGTTGAATTATCTAGATTTTAGTTGGAATGATTTTCATCTAAATCCAATTCTAGAGTTTCTTGGCTCTCTTACCGATTTAAGAACTCTTGATCTGAGGCATGCTTACTTTGGTGGGAAAATTCCTTATCAATTAGGAGAACTCTCGAGCCTACAGAATCTTTATCTCTAGTTTAACTACCTTGTAGGTGAAATCCCTTGGCAATTGGAAAATCTTTCTAACTTGCTGGAACGCACTATCTATCATAACCATTTAGGGGCTTAATTCCTCACCAACGCGGTAGTCTTTGAAGATTAGAGATTCTTGTTCTTGATTCAAATGACAATCTCCTGATTGATGTTGATGACATTTCAGAGATTTCTCACCTTTCTTCTTTGACTGTCCTTCAACTAAATGATGTGTCAAATCTTAGAAAATCCAATAACTGGTTGCACATGGTTGGTCAGCTACCAAATCTACAACTTCTATCTCTAAAAAATTGTAGTCTTTCAAACAGAGATCTTCTTTTTGTGCATCCCTTTGTATTGAATTTTTCTTATTCCCTAACCGAGCTTGGTCTATCTCACAATAAGTTCACATCATCCATGTTTTCCTTGGTTGTTCCATTTAAACTCTAGTCTTACATACCTGAATCTCAGAGAAAACCTCTTAGAGGGTTCCATTCCATACCATCTTGGGAAAATAATGAATTCTCTTCAATACTTGGCACTCAATAACAATCATCTAAATGGAACACTACCAAAAACAATTGCAAATTTGTTAGAATTGCAACATTTTGATGTTTTTGGGAACTTTTTCGATGGTGAGATTACAAATCTGGGCCATCTTGCAAATCTCACAAAATTGAAAATATTAGATTTATCCCAAAACTCATTTACTTTGAAATTCAACTATCACTGGATTCCTTATTTTCAATTGAAATCATTGGATATAAAATCCTGCATGATGGGTCCCTCATTTCCAAAATGACTTCAAACACAAAACCATGTCCATACTTTTCTCTGACAAAAAAAAATGTCCATACTTTTCATGGAATCAAAATTTTTCGTTTTGAGAAAAAAAAACATAAAGCTACTAAAATAACGAAACGAATTTTCTGTGTTTGGGAAATTTTTTAATTTTTTATTTTCATTGACGAGCATGAGTTGTTGAATATGAGAAGCCAAAGCAGTACGTAACTTTCACATTCATCACCGTATTGGGCTTCCGTGATGGGCCCATGAGAATGGTCTTTTTGTAGTTGGGTCTGAATAGCAATTTTCTTTGCAATATTTGACATCTCGAATAGGAACAGGTTTTTTTTAAAATAAAAAATAAAAAGGAATGAGTTTACATTAGACTTTTTTTGTTTTTTAACGTTCGTAGTTGAATTGGTAAAACCCCAAATGTCATCTAAACTTGTAAAATTGACTATTTTGAAAATTTGAAATTAAGTGAATTTACAATATTGTTCTTTATTTCTTTTTCTTTTTCATACCTTCAAGTCCCTCTTACCAGTAGGCTGGAGCTTTTTTGATATATTTTTTTAACTTTTATAATGTGATCAACAACTCTTAAAACTATATTCACAACTTTATTAACGCCATTAATCATGTATCTCTCAAGTTTTTAAACTGGAATTTTCTGAATAATTTTAACGTTATCAATAAATCTTATTATGATATTTACAACTCTATTAACATTATTAACCACTTTATATGATGGATTCTTATCAATTTCAAAAATGTATTAAGTTAATAATTTTAATTTAAAATAGGCTTTTTTTAATTCATGTTTTAATTATCTTAAATTCTATGGGTCAATCCAATCTATAAAGCGTTCTCACGCGTTCATCCCTCTCATGGACTTGAAGCTAAGTCTGCCCCCAAAATACACGACTCGATCTGCTTCAACTCTCAAATATTCCTCACGATATGTACTCTTGTTCCATGTACATGCCATCATCATTATTGACTTATTGACTTATTTCACTTCATTGCTTTTTTGCTTTTAACTCCTACTACTTTAAACTCGTCATTTTTGGTCTATTCTAACAATTTATTTTTTTATGAGAATTTTGAATTATTTTATTTGTAAAGCATAGTTGGATTAAAATTTACTAATTTTTAGAACAAAACATGAATGAGAACATTATTATGGGATTACAGCAAGAATTTTCATAAAAACAATACGGCGCAGGGGATTATGGTAATGATGATTTGGATCAAGTAACAATTTGAGTGGTGAAATCTGGTGGAAGCTTGGGAATCTATGAGGAGCCTGTGGTTTTTCTTAATTTATGACTGTGGAGTCAAGAACTGATAAAGGTGAGTTGGTGTACGTTTTGAACTCGTCAAACAACAACTTATGGAATTATTCTGTGTCAACTAGTCAACCATATTATGAAGTCTTTAAGGCTTATACTTCATGTTCCTTCTGAAAAGTAAACTAATATACATTCAAGTTTTGATTCATTCGGAGCAAGGCAAGTTTTGTGAGAGAGTGATCATGTATCGGAACAGACTAAGAATGCTTCAAACCATATTCTTGATGTGGCTTTTGCAGGTAGGGATTCTGCACACCAATGGAAGCAAGAGTTGCATAGAGAGAGAAAGGGAAGCACTTTTGGAGCTGAAGAAAGGGCTTGTGGATGAGTATGGCATCTTGTCTTCATGGGGTCTAAATGGAGACGCTGACTGTTGCAACTGGTGGGGCATTCATTGTAGTAACCGAACAGGCCATATTGTGAAGCTGGATCTTCATGCTCATGATTATGATAAAACTTTGGGAGGTCAGATTAGTTCTTCTTTGATAGAACTACAACAGTTGAATTATTTAGATTTCAGTTGGAATGATTTTCATCCAAACCCAATTCCAGAGTTTCTTGGTTCTCTTACCAATTTAAGGTTCCTTAACATGAGTCATGCTTCCTTTGGTGGGAAAATTCCTTGTCAACTCGGAAAACTCTCACACCTACAGAATCTTTATCTCCAGTTTAACTACCTTGTAGGTGAAATCCCTTGGCAATTGGGAAATCTTTCTAATTTGCTGCAACTTAGTCTCTATCACAACCATCTAGGGGGCATAATTCCTCACCAACTTGGTAATCTTTCAAGATTAGAGATTCTTTTTCTTGATTCAAATGACAATCTCCTGATTGATGTTGATGACATTCCATGGATTTCTCACCTTTCTTCTTTGATTGACCTTCAACTAGCTGGTGTGTCAAATCTTAGAAAATCCAAAAACTGGTTGCACATGGTTGGTCAGCTGCCAAATCTACAAGTTCTGTCTCTCGAAAATTGTAGTCTTTCAAATAGAGATCTTCTTTTTGGGCATCCCTTTGTATTGAATTTTTCTTATTCCCTAACGGAGCTTGATCTATCTCACAATTACTTCACATCATCCATATTTCTTTGGTTGTTCCGTTTAAACTCTAGTCTTACATACCTGAATCTCGGAGAAAACCTCTTAGAGGGATCTATTCCATATGATATTGGGAAAATAATGAATTCTCTTCAAATCTTGGCACTCGATAAAAATCACCTAAATGGAACACTGCCAAAAACAATTGCAAATATGTTAGAATTGCGATCTTTTGATGTTTTTGGGAACTCCTTGGATGGTGAGATTACAAATTTGGGCCCCCTTGCAAATCTCACAAATTTGGAAGAGTTAAGGCTATCCCAAAACTCCTTTACTCTAAAATTCAACGACAGTTGGATTTCTCATTTTCAACTGCACTATTTGGCAATGCAATCTTGCACGCTGGGTCCTTCTTTTCCAAAATGGCTTCAAACACAAAATGGCATAACCTATCTTGATGTTTCAGATGCTAGCATATCAGACACAACAACAATGGCCTCATTTCTTTGCTATTCCAAGGATAATCTAAGCTTTTTGAACATGTCAGGCAATCACTTCAAAGGACAACTTCCAGATTGTTGGAATGGCTTAAATTCGATAAGAATCATTGATTTCAGTAATAATGAATTCTCTGGAAACGTTCCAACCTCTATAGGTTCCTTACTTTTGGTCCGCCACTTAATTTTACGCAACAATCACTTCACAGGCCAACTCCCGTCCTTAAAGAATTGCATCGACTTGGTGATGTTGGATGTGGGGAGAAATGAATTCGTAGGACCCATACCTCCATGGATATCAGGATCTAACTTTCCTAAGTTGCAAGTTCTTAGCTTGACAAACAATAACTTTTATGGAAGGTTGCCATCCCATCTTTGTCATTTGTCAACCATTCAGGTTTTAGATCTTTCAGTGAATAACTTGTCTGGACATACACCCAAATGCCTCCAAAATTTCATTATGATGACTCATAAATCCGGCATCCATGACGCCATTGACCTCTTCTTTATCTTTAAGAATAATTCCCCTTTTGAGAGAATTGAATATGACTTTTACCCCACAGTGAGATGGAAAGGGAAAGAATTATCATTCAAGGACAACAAAAGACTTCTGAGGTTGATTGACCTATCTGAAAATCAACTATCTGGCAAGATTCCAGAAGAAATTGGGAGTCTCCAAGAACTAGTTTCTTTAGATTTATCAAATAACAATCTGAGTGGTGAAATCCCTTGGGAGCTGGGAAAGTTGCAGGCCCTTGATTTTCTTGACTTATCAACAAATCGTTTGTCTGGAAAAATCCCTTCAAGTCTGTCTCAAATTGATAGGCTTGCTGTTTTAAACTTATCCCATAATAATTTATTTGGAAAAATCCCATCAGGAACACAACTCCAAGGCTTCGATGCGTCTGTATATGAGGGAAACCCCTATCTTTGTGGGAGTCCACTTGAAAGGCTTTGTCCTGATGAAAATAGAAAACCAGAAGACTCATTTACAATTGAGAAGCATGATGATGATTCAATTTTCAGCCAAGGCTTCTACATAAGTATGGGTTTGGGATTTGCTACTGGATTTTGGGCCATCTTTGGCCCATTGCTTATCTTTCCCACTTGGAGACATGCTTTCTTCACCTTCCTGCATAACCTATATGACAAGATCTTTGTGCTCATAGTAATCAACATATCAAGATATCGCAGGTTCTTTGAAAAGTAAGTGATAATCTTCTTTCTTTCATTTTCTTTTTCAACAAAATTGGGAAACAAAAATAGATCAATTGATCCAACGTAATTTCTTACTTATCACGAAAAAGTATATATAAAATATCTGAAACCAATTGGATGAGTCTCGAACTTCTCTGATCAATTTAATTATTCATTCATGAAACTTTTCGAGTGACTTGGTTTTGAATGCTATGGATTATAAGCACGGTGATGAGAGGAGCCTGATCAGTGAAAGCCAGAAGATCATGAGAGAGGCAGTTTGGAGCTGAAGCAAATATAAGTGGAATAGGTTTCTGCTAGCCACCATCAAAATAAAGCATCCATGTCATGTGTGCCTATGTTAATTAATTATTGTCGTCAAGTTCGTCCTGTTTAACCTTGTTGTTACCTATATACTATGATATATTCTCACTTAGACTTGTCTAGCTTATCGTTTCATCTCTAATGTGTCGAATGAAAAATATTGATATAGAACCGTCGCTTTTTTAAATCCTTTTTAAGGCCCTAATTAATTATGAAATGAAACTTGTCTTTTTGTTGATATACAAAAAAACTCACCCTATTTAGTCATCAATTGAATAAATAGAAACGAAAATACCAGCATAATTGTTTTCCTAAAGTATGAAAAAATTTTCGGCAAGAATGACAAATAAAAAGTAGAATTTAATGTTAAGGTTATGAGAAATAAGCTTTTACAATAAATTATTGATCAAATTTTAGCATTCACACACATTTAAAAAATGAATAAAAATTTATTAGTTGCCAAATCACATCTTATTCTTGCATTTATTCTTTTTCCACTTTTCGTATAATGGATACCAATAAAATCACCTTAGGTGGGGAAAAAAATTTGCAACCAAAAGAAACTCTGAATTTTCATTATCTAAAAATCTAGATAAAAATACATAAAAGGCTAAAATGTACAAAATTCTCCTAAACTTTGCATCAATAGCATAAAACCTTCCTGACATTTAAAATTTAAAATTTAAAATTCTAATATTTCATGTTTTTTACAAACTGAATCCTTTAACGTGAAATTGTGCTTGTTTGGGATAGCGGTGAAAATCGCTTATAAGCACATTTCATGTAAGTCGAGACAAAATTCCTCTCACATACTTGACTCGTATTCCATAAATCATGATTAAAAAGCTACTTATAAACTATTCCAAACAGGCTCAATATGACAATTACTCAAACAATCGAAGGATAGAGTCATTTCCCAACAATTTTCTTCGTCTTCTATATGAATCCTCGTGCATCTGGGGGAAATCTTGCACTTCTCCAGTCTGAACATAGGACTCATTTTATAATTAATTTATACTGTAAAATGGGTTTTATATTTAAAACTGAAGAAGTATATATATATATATTTTTAATGGAAAAGAGGAAAAGCATCTTTGAAGGCAGTTGATATTCTAGTCTTGATTTATATCATTAATTTAAAATTGTGTCGATACATTTCTCTGAGAAAAGAAATGCCCATGCTTTTCAGAGATTCGAAATTTTTGATTTTGAGGGAGAAAAAAATGGAAAAGCTACTAAAATGACGAAACGATTTTTTAGTGTTTGGGAAATTTTTTTAATTTTTTGTTTCCATTTTAGATTTGGATAACCTAAAAACACTTTTAGAAAGTGATTTTACATAAATCAAGATAAAACTTCTTTCACATACTTTTAAAACCATGGCTGAGACAAGCATGAGTTGTTGAATACGAGAAGTCCAAGCTGTAACTTTTTGGTTCAGCACTATATTTGGCTCATAAAATATGATTACTAATTAAGTGTATTAGTTAGAACTACTATTATTACACGGACTACCTCAAAAAAAAAATGAGAGACAAAATGAATTGGTATCTATATTTATAACCAAAACAAAAATCAAACAAACGCTTATATTAAAGATCGGAGATAGTATATAGAACCGGACGAATTGGTAATTTCAGCCACACTTTGTACGGGTTTCATTTTTCTTAAAACAAAGATCAATTTACGAGCTTCATTCATATTGCAAACCCATGCCTTTTTTTTTTTCCCCACCAAAACCCATGCCTTTACTTTACATATAACTGTATATGGCCCGATAAACATTAAATATTATTATCAACAAAGCAAAAAAGTTATGTTTTGAATAGAAAAAGCAGGGCACATCATGGACGTCCACGTCCATTTCTAAAGTTGAATTGGCACATGTTTTTCTTTGTATTAATGAGGACGAGAAAGAAGAAGCTGGGATTTGAATTATATTCCTCTTGAATACACATACTCTCCATTATAAATGTCATTAAAAAAATGAAGTAAAAATTAAAGTAAATGTGAAAATTGTGTTTGTTAATTTTTTTAAAAAATCATGAAGTAATATTATTTATTGATTGGTCAAATTAAATTTAAAAAATTGAAAATTGAGGTGGTTAAATGAAGTGGGAAGAAAGAGACGAGGGGATTTTTGCGTCGAAGAAAAGAACATGGAAAGTAAAACTGCCGCCAAAGAATGGAAGGAATGAGGCCGTTAAGGGAATGCCACGTTGACCAATGAGAAGGCGATTAACGAAACTGGTTCGCACCTTTGTGGTCTAACCACCCAATTGGCGCCACGTAGCAGACAAGATAACCGACCCTCCCATGACAGTCAAACCAGGGCCCAACACGTATTCCTCACGACGCCCTCTCGGACAATGGCCATCTTCAGTTATTATCACACACAAACTGATATTGGCCTTTTGATATTTTCTAATGTATTCCCAGTACACTACTTTTGATTTTCTTTCTCAATTATGGTGACTTTGGAAATTTCTTATAACCTTCACTTCTCACCTCCATTGGACCATAATCCCATCGCCCACGTGGAGTCTAAGGTTTTTTTTTTGGTTGAGGTTTCTTGTTTCTCTTGTCTTCCCCCCGCCTTCTAGAATTAGTGTTAACAATAATCATTTAAAATTTTTTTTTCTTTGCTTTATAAAAATCACAACTAAATATTGGTGAATGAAAATTCTTGGGAGCAAGCTAGCAAAGGAATTTGGGACATGGTGTAAAAGCGCTTATCTTTATTTATTTTGCTTTTGAGGCAGAAAAGTGGTCGTTGTCAGAGGCTCCAACAGTGCATAAGCAACAATTCTATTTTCTACATATAAAAAACGGCGACAAAGAGGAGGCTTGCGAAAAAGATATGCATAACTTCGAAGAAGCATGATTGCTATCAAAGTTTTGCCAGAACCAGTCTCTTTGATACACAATGACAAAATAAATTATTTTACAAAAAACATATTTAATTATTTTATTAATATTTATACGTATTAATTTTTTTATTTATATTATTTATGCCTTATTTATTATGTTGTCAAAATATATATTATTAACAAATTTATTACTTCAAATAAACATATATTATGAATATATCTTATATGTAATTATCATTTAAACTTATGTCCTTTTAATAATTTTTACATATAAAAAAGTACTTCTGACAACAACTATCCAA